TGGCGCCACCCCTGTTCTACGTTCACATCGAATAGACCTTTCAGAAGTGTCTATCACACACTTAACAACTGACCAAGGAACCAGGAATACGCGCATGTCCTTCAAACAATGTGTTGTCCCAAAACGCACGTGAGCTTACGTACAGTACATTTACGCTATGGTTTTGTGGGCCTAAAAAAACAATATTCAAGGGGCGGGTCTTAGCAGAAAGTGCCATTAATTCATTATGTCATCTCAGATTGTTTTTTATCGCAATGTCAATTGTTCCAAGTCTTTAAAACTCTCTCATTTTGTATGTTATCTAATGAAGTTTTAAGATACAAAGTACTGTAAGCAATTGAAGCACCGGATTGACTTTTGTATGTTTCTAAAATTGAAAGCATAATAGGCCTACTAAATTATATAATATTATATAACTCAACATAGACAGAATATACTGACCCGTATTTTTACTTAGCCCGTCTGCAGGGAACTAACAGAAACACAAAAATTATATTTACCAAAGTGTAAAAACAAGTTGATCAGGCAGACCGAGTAAATTTTCCAATGGTGCACACAGTGTTTTGCTTCAGTGTTATACAGAGTCATAATTAATGAAACAATGGCGCGCCTACACTATCAGCAGACCAATACGTTTACCTCATTGCTGCATAGTTTTACAGTTGATAGCCTGAAATAAAAATGTTCTGGCGCAAAATGAGTTTAACGCCCTCTTAACTCTTTTCCTGTTATAGCACGACCGATACAAAAAAAAAATATATATATATATATATATTGCATTGGCTGTCATGGCGACGAGGTCCTATATTTTTTTCATGCATAAATTTTGAAAGCTCAATGTAAACAGGACTTCTGCTTTCGGTGCTTTAGAGTAGGCCTACTGATGAACATAGCATCCCTCCATACTTCAAGTTGTTGATCTGTGAAGTATTTCTACAGTTACACAGAAACTGGAAGTCTCAGTGATCATTATAGCAAATAACTAATAACTTTACAATAATATAGTGTCCAAGTATTAATTTTTTTTAAACCTTTACACGTTTAACTATACTATATCACTCTATACTATGTCATAGCTTAGGAATGTTTTCTTTAAAAAAATTGCTAGAACCAATAATATTTTAGTTCCTGCTTTAGTGTTTTTTGTATGCAGTTATAGTATACTTTTGGCTGGAATTATATAAACACTTATATACTAGCCGTTTTACCGGTTAATAAACCTTCACTACATGTCAGTAACTATCTTCCAGGATGTCGAAACACAATCGATCCGACCAGTTACCAAGATTGTTGCACGTAATTCATCCATCTATAATTCCCTCTCCCCACCTATTAGCCTAAATCCATGGAGGACAGCATGAAGTGCGATTTGAGGACAATCTCACTGGTACACATACTTGGTATTAAATTGGACAATTTGGGATCTTCAAGCATGTTATTCTTGTGTGATTTGAGTTGTTTTATTAGTAAACTGGTAAAAAAGAGGTTAAATTTTACGAGAACATTGCTAATACGTTGATGAAAAGACTATTATAAAAGTGATCGAATAATTGATTGTAAAGACAATATTATTATAACATTATAACGGATGCTTAATTTCATTAAATGTATGGTACTTTATGCCCATACCAACTCCTCTTGCAAACAGATTCATATTTTTTAAAGGTGCAATGGCGTCATAATTAAACTCGTAACTTCAAAAAGATCGCTAAAAGTGATCGAAGCACAGGTAAAGCATGGTTTCCAAAATCGCTACACGCTAACGCCGACTCATTTGGAGACGCTGGTTGGTCAGTTGAATCAGGGAGCGTTCTGTCGGGACAGATACGCAGAGCAAGGATTGCAGTGAAAATGCTGTAGCGACTGTGTAGTGATTCTATGGAAACTAGGCTTTAATGATTTTTATTTTATAAGGCCTATGTGATTAACCGAACTGGTATTGCAAAGAAACAGATAAATTTCATGATTGCTGTTTTTCGTTGAGTATCTCTACGTATACGCGTTTAATACCTTCCATATAGGCCTAAATGAATATTTAACACGATATATATAACACGTTGACTGCCAGTCAGACCTTTTTTTTAAGGTTCCTTCCCGTATGCCAAAACAAGTTTACATGTACAAACATACTTTTTTGAAATTTTATCTAGTCATACGTCATCAAAATGATATGTCTAATAAATTGGCGGGAAAATATTAGGGGGCGAGTATACTCGTCGACGGCACTGATAGAACGTTTTATTGACTATGCCAAGTGCGAGTTATCTCGTCCGCTTTTTGCATGGGTTGGTATATGTTCAAAGGACGCCCCCACTTGTGCCACTCGAGTGTACACTACCGGCAACATAACACAACAAACATACATACGTAATATGTACGTTATCGTCTAGGTGTATCTTCCCCGAACTACCAGAGCCGTTGAGTCTGAGGTTCTTCAATGTATAACAAAGAAATTATAAAGGCTAGAAAGTTACCCCGATTTTGACGAGAATACTCGTCCCTGGCGCCCCAGCAACACACTGTGAGCGAGTATACTCGTCGCTGGCAGCCAACGTGTTAATTCTTAGTTCTCATGAAGTTGACCTAGAGTACTAGGACCATTATGTACAAAATAATATGTATATTGCTTCTTTTGGCAAGATAATTCTAATATTCCCTCCGAAGCAGTGGTTTACGTCACAGGATCCCCATAGAGGAATTAGTATGGTATCACATTGTTGATTATTGCCATTTTGTCCTTTATTAAAGCCTACTAATTAGCACTCATACGATGATTATATCATTGACGACATGTTTCTCTTTTTTTTAAATTTAATCTCAAAAATATTACATCTATAATAAGTGTAGAAAGGAAAATGAAAGCTTATTACAAAAACACATACAGCATTTGATTAATTTTATTTTGAATCTTATGTTAATCATTAATACATGACTATAATAGACAATTATGACCAAAAATTAATAACATTTACTGTATTATGATAATAATTGATTACATGTGTTACGATGTGTTATTCTATGATTTGTACAAAATACCGGTATGTATTTGAAAATTACATTACAACTGGGTTGTCATAATTCCACTGTAGATCTTATACTTGTTATCTGCTCCTGGCTCAACGTTGTATGCCGTATAAGCCTGGAAAATTCAAAATATCAAAAATTATATTAATTTTTATAGGTTTTGTGACAGTAGCATAGTCAGTTTTCAACTCGCAAGAGTTAAGTGCAATCTTTTCGTAATCCAAAGCGCGTACAATGTAGTTCTAGGGGACCGGAGTTAGGCTTACATCCATTGTGAAGTTTAGCATTTCTATTGAGATATTGAATTGATTGACTTGGTGTTTTGTTTTAAATTGCGTTTGTATTTTGCATGTATCTGTATATTTCCAAAACTTAATATTACTTATAGTTTGTGATGCATTCCTCTAAAATTAATTTTGCATATGTGTTTCATTCCAGAATATATTCATCAATGTAAATTATATATATATAATGTATATATGTATATATATATTATATATATATATATATAATAATAATATATATGTATATATAGAGAGAGAGGGAGAGAGGGGGAGGGGGGAGAGGAGAGAGAGTTTATTACAAATTAAGTATCTTTGTATGCCGCCTTTGATTAGGTTCTATTGCTATTTTAATTTGTAACCAATACCACTTCCTTATACTTGCTTTACTTTGTATATTTTTTTGTCCTTACACTGAGAAGGAACACAGGAGTTTTTGAAATATTTGTGATTTAATAAATTATATTGCTTCATAGTATGTTTACAACTCATAGCTGTTTTTGTTTTGTATTTTTTTTTTTGCTGTCTTTCTATATTTTATTTATCGAAGCAAGCAAAATTTTAAAAAAGTATGGCAAATCTTGTCAAACATCGAGAATTGAAAACGAATTTTATATACCGGTCCCTGGAAGATGACTCAGTCTGTTATCTATTATTAAGGACTAGGACTAAGTCAGATGATAATGGAGTATTTTTCTCTGCCTCTTGGCTTCTCGTTTGAAAATGTTTTTTAATTATATTTTGTAATTCTTCAACTTCAACTTCAACTTTATTTTCAAATAAGTATAAGTAATATAAAATTCAAATAAATACATAAACCAACATAGGAAGGAGCTAGAAAATTGTGTAAACACTAATCAAGTCCAGCCCCTTTAAACGTAAAAAAATTGCATAATTCTATATAAAGGGCAAAATTATTACTTTTTCAACTTAAAAAATATCAAATATACCATTTCAAAGCAAAAGAATAAATAAAATTTATCAAAAAAATCATTTCGAAGAAAATATATAGTACATACATTATTACATAAATATACAAATAAATAATGGGTAAGTTTACTTCAATAAAAATGTATGTGGTCCTGATCTGGATCTGAATTTGTCATACTCCGAAAAAAACACAGATTCCTTCATCACATCAGAGATTTATTGACCTGACCCCACACTCCCCCCCCCCTCCCGTTTGACAGTTTGAAGACCTACCAGAAATGAATTTTGAAGCTTTTAAAATCTGTGGTATCGTTTTGTGGCAATTTCTTCTAGTAAGGTATCGCAAACGGGAAGGAGCTAGTGACATAAATCATTGTTCTAACAGGTATTTGCATGTAGGAGTATATTTGTTTGTTTGCTCTTATGATTAAAACAAAGATATAGGTCCCCTATGTATGATAATTCTTTGATCCAATGCTTTTGAAGTAAAATTCTCTTGACTTATTGACATAATGATGTTTTTAAAATGCTGTTAGTTTCCTGTGACTGAATGAAAACAACGTTTGGGCCAGGGGCGGATCCAGCTTGCCAGAAAAGAGGGGATGCAATTTGCGAGCGAAGCGAGCAGCCTTAGGCTGGGGGCCAAGGGGCCGTTTAGGGCCCCCGTAAGGGTCCAGGGGCAGAGCCCCTGGTTGGGGTCCTACATGGTTGGGGTTCCTTGAAGCCCAGCACATTTGAGGAATATGAGGTTGTACTGAGTCGATTTTATGGTAGTTTTCAGTAACAAATAAATAAAAAAAAATATATGTGTATGTCTTTTAATAGAAATGTTAATATACAGGGTACCTAGCAATATGCAACTATGAAATGTTGAAATGAAACTAACAGCTGTGGGTTTCAGTGCCTCTTCCACGAAAATCTCAAACATAGTCTTTGACAACGTGTAAAGACTCATAAATGTACACCATTTCAAAAGAGAAATTTCACTTCTAGAAAACATGATAAATGACATCAAGCATAAAAATCAGAAAATCAGCAAAAAGGAAAACTAATATCCAAAATCCGTTAAAAAAAAAATCCGCTATTGTATATTAACATTGAGTAATTTATAAGTGTTCTATTTCTCACCAAGTGGATTTATGAATAGCACTCTCCTAGCATGTTTTTGATAGGAAAAGAAGACTTAAACACTGTTGGTGTAATTTTTTCTTTTGTTTTTTTTTTTGTTTTTGTTTTTTGAAAAAAATAGGGGGGGGGGGCGTACGCCCCTTACGCCACCCCCCACCCAAATCCGCCACTGGAAATAGGCCTAGGCAATAGGTTTAGGTAGGCCTACTTTGTTTCATGTCAATTAGAGACAACAGGATTATACAATTTCATATGTATTTCAAATGTAAATCAGTGATTATATTAGCGTGTTCAATTGCTGTCATCTTCGGATTCGGTTTAAACATCGTTTTTTATACATTATATTTCTGTCTTTAAGTATTGACAATTATCTGTGCTACAAGCACTACTCGGTCAAGTTCATAAAAAAATGTTTCTTAGGCAAGCATACGTATGTATACAATGGTTTCGGTCGCCATCTACCTGAGCTAAAATCTAGGCCTACATAACTACAGTATTATGTGTATCGTTTCCTTCTGTAAAATACATTTCCGTCGTAGAGTCCAATAGTTTATCGAAGACCATCATACGCTTTGTATTTTTATGTTTACTAACCAGTCTAGTCTACTGAATTTGGTGCTACATTCAAATTAGTAATTTTAAGTATTCTCTTTGTTTGCTTTGACGTTTATATAAGCAACTGGGTTGTCATCATTCCACTCTAGATCTTCATATGTCTTTTCCTTTGCACTCGAATCACGTTTATATGCCATATAAGCCTGTAAAATTAAGAATGACAAGCATTGTTGGTTTGTTTTTGTAGAATTGGACATATTAAAGATTGTTTTAAAGCTTAGCACGGATTTAGCTTTGAGATGTACTTGTATTTTTTGCCATTGGTCATTATCTTCTTTAATAAGCCCTCTGTAGTAATTATAGCCCTCTGTAGTAATAGTTATAGTAAAGAAATGGTCAAATAAGCGGAAGCTTTAGAAGAATCGAATCATCAAGTAAGTAAGACTAAAGGGAGTTTACAGCTTCATTATTATGATAATGCTATGTTGTAAAGCAATGTTTGCTTGACTGGTGCAGCATTTTCCTTACCAATGCTTGTTTATCTCTGGGTGTTGCTTGGAGTTCCTTTAAGATAAGTAATAATATAATATCATTTATGTATTTATTTATGTATTTATTTTTATGTATTTTAAGTCTGTTAAAAATGCCAAAAAAAACACCCATCGATCTGAGGAGTTCTTTTATTAACTGTGGATGACTTTTCGTAAAAGTATACCTGTAATTTGCTACATTGTACGGTAAGAATTCGACCAAACTTAAGTATATGGAATTATTCACAAAGAGCACGCGCATATTTTACGCAGGTCTAATGTAGCATGCAAAACTCTAATTAGGTCATTCTGTTCCGTTCGTTCCCAATCACCCCGAACCGTAAAACAATTAAGCTCCCCACGGATCCATGTCTCCAATGTGAATGTACCAGTTTATTTTTTTTTCTGAATGATGTCTAGTAGATAAATCATTTGAATATAGGTCTGTGAGAAATTAAATGTTTTAATTAACATTTTAAATGCTTTTGAGGATTTAGAGGCCTATATGCGAGTATTCCTTTATCCTTCTTACCGCCGGTTCTTCGTAATGTCTGGATGTTCCTTTGGTTACCTTTAAAGTAAATTATATAAAATTAAAACAGTTAAGTAGATAAAAAACAAAAAAACATTTAATCAAGTTTTTTCCACTTTTAGTAGCCTACAGTTTATCATTCTAATACTGGTCTTCAACACGATAGACGTCAATACCAGTCGTCTTCATCGTAATTTATTGTATAGCAAGCAAACAACATTATCATAAATGAAACATTCATATGCTTAATGATGTCCAATGACAGAAATTTAATGAACTTAGCCCGTCAGACGGGCGCTATCCTATCCCGTATGTATCTCACCTGTGCCTTTGGATTTCTGATCTTTCCGAGGACGACAGATATAGATGAAGATAAAAGGACTCCCAAAAAGAAACTTAGAAACGTCAATCCAACAAGAAGACTAGTATTTGAACCTGAACATTTCTGTGGTACTTTGGTAAAATAATAGTGATAATAAACAGTGTATTACAAACATCTGAAATGTGTTAGTCAATCATTTTCTAAATTTGCAAACAACTAAAGATATTGTATTACTGAAATTATCATACACAACTAATGTTTATAGGTTTTCCAAAATAGGGAAAGCATGCTTCTGAAGTGTTACTTATATTTTAATTGTTCGATTAGTCGATCCACAAACAGACTAACAGAGCAAATGATTTAAATACCAAACAACTAAGCGACGACCGAATTCGAATATCTTCAACAATTGGATGAACAAAAAAAACACGTACCAGTGGCTGAAATACTTGCTATGGATGTTAATGATGGTACTATTAAAATAAAATTCTTTCATTAGAAAATAAAACCAAATATAGTGATATACATGTATGCCCGATAAGCAAACTTCACAATTGGTGATGGTGTCCTCATTCATATTTAAAATAATATAAATGAGGACACCGCCACCAATTATATTAATAATATATAATTGGTGGTGGTGTCCTTATTAAAAAATAACATTCTTTGTCAAAAAACTTAAACTTTTAGTGAGAATGAAATAGAAGCCCTTTTGGGTCGAGTAAATTTACAACATTCTCTCTTGGGAGTACCCAATTTTACCTAAATTTTTAAAATATTTTTTTATCCTATAAAGGAAACGCGATTTACAGTTGAGGCATTCAAATACCTTAGAGTAGTTTAGGATCGTAAATTAACATGGTTAGAATATGACAAATTAACATGCAATATCTCAAAAAGTATTGGCGTTATCCAGTTGTATAATCCTTTTTAAATGTTTAAAAGACCAAGCCCTATTATAATATATCTGAGCTGGAGTATTTATTATCTGCGGAAAGTAAAATTATTTCTAGTCTGCTTAAAAGTACTTGAAGAGAATTTGAAAGTTTAACATTACAATTCGACCAGACACAGTTACAATTATCAAACATGTTCAATCAGAGTATTCATGCTTTTTTGACTTCTTGTACAATGAATACTCTAATTGAACACCAATTGAATAATATGCAGGGTAAAAGAACCTTTGTTTACAGATAAATTAAATTATGGAATAAACGCCCAGATAATATTAAAACAATCTTTGAATCCTCGACTCTTTTATAGTTTAAAACTATATGTCAAATCCTTATTAGATAACTTACATCAATTTTTTATGCTTATTTTATTATTCTTCAATGTAAATTATTGTATTGTAAATATTTGAAGAATTTTTTTAATGATGTTTCTTTAATAGTTTTCTTTTTTTTTATATAATACTGAAAGTGTTATTTCAGTATAAAAACAGATGAATAAAAAATAAATAAATTGATGTCTTCATGTTTTCTATTCATTTGCAAATAATCGTACATATAAAAAATATGAATGAAGGGAAGACCTACCTACGGAGAAAGAACTGGCTATGGATGTCGTTGATGGAACTAATGAGAAAAACAAGATTATGTTTTAAAAATTTAAAAAAAAAAACATAATTTCATATTTAACAGAAACATTATTAGCTGGCAATAATAATGTAAATTTTACAAAATACAGCTTTCTGTACTGTCATCGATAGTATTTATTTTTATATTATGAAATACTGTATTGTAATTACCTAATTATTCCTATAATTGTACTTACAAGTAGGCCTAAACAATGATAGTGTCCCTGTATTACTCAGCTTTCCTTCATCCCCACTGTAAGCTGAATTCTCTGTTTGACATTGGTAATCTCCTTCGTCCATTTCGTTGACTCCGCTGATCTCTAATGTTGTGTCTGACTGTGGATACTTCTCAGTATCAGACACATTAAGTACGCCGCCATTTTTGATCCACGTGATAATGATAGGTGTTGGAACACCATCAGGCAAAGGGCACAAGAATGTTGCAGTTGTGTTTATGATGACTGATTTCTCTTTTGGCATCAAAGTTGGTGCATCAAGGTCTGTAATGACAGTTAATTTTTTTTTCTAAATAAAAAATCAAGCAAATCTTGGTATATCTAGGCTAATCATTGCAAGAATACAAAAAATACAATAAAATAATGATGTGAAGTCAGTACTTACAGTAGACTGTTAAATCTGAGACATTTTCTGCCATGTCAGAATTTGTTGTAACTACTCTAAACAGGTAATAACCTGCATCCTCTACTTCAACATTAGATATAATAAGGCTTCCATTATCACTTAAGCTGTATCTACCGCTGGGTTGTGGGTTTCCAGTGATATTGGTTATAATAGATTCTCCTTCAACACCATTTTCATTACTTTTGAACCAAGCCAAAAAAGAAAAATCGTCTCCTGGTTCAAGTGTCAATGTATACGTCATTAATGCATTTCCACCTAATATTGCTGTAGCAGGATCTACTGTCACAGATCTAGATTGAGCAAGGACACCTGGAACTAAGCAAAAAAATGAATTTACATTTTATAATACAAGACTGATTTAAACAAGGACACATGGAACCAAGCAAAAGTTAGCAACTAACCCATTTCGAATTATAATGAACAAAAACATGTAAAACATGAAGCAAAGAAGATTGAGTAGTAGCTTATTAAAGGGGGTGTCTATAAAACAAATACCAAAGTCCAAAGACCCAAAAAAGGGACCCCTATTTTTTCTCTTTTATTTTGATGATAATAAGCCAAGCAGTTACGACATTTTGTGGGCGTCTGTTTGTAAAATTTTTAAGGGTCTTCGTTTTATATTTATTTATTTATTCAACTTTCTTTTATGAGGGTTTGCTGACTCAAAGAGGCCCCTTATAACAAATACAAAACATACAGTATAACAAAACAAATACAGTAATACATGTAAAATATATAAAGCACAATTATAAAATAGATTTTCGTTAAAATTAAAAAAAAAAACAATTGCATAAACAAGATATAAAATTTCAATTTTAATAAAAGCAGTCATTAAGATGATTTTAGTGCTATTTTTAGTTTATTTTTAAAAGAATAAAATGTATTGCAATTTCGTATGTCATTAGAAAGTGAATTAAGATAGGACGGACCTTTATAAATAAAACTACTTTTAAACATTTCAGTTCTCGGTTTGGGCAAATTATAATGACCAGCAGTACCTGCTCTAGTAGAAGTATATACGGTATACTACTGCACTGTAATGCATAGACCTGTTTTAATACTCTACTTAGATAGGCTTTTCTTTTTCCATCTTGATTTCAGATGTAAAAAAACGTTTTTCGATTTTTTTTTTCAATCATATAGTGATGTAGACTACCGTACTCATTTAAAAACATTTTGCTAGAAAATATTTTTGTTTTTGGATACGACGCCCCGTTATGGAGTTACGATTTTTTAAATAACGTGATGTCAGAAAATCAGCCAAAAAGCTTATCTTATTTCTGTTTATCTTGTTACTGATTCTCGATGTTTGTCATTACTTCAAGATGTCTACCGATTCGTGGAAAAGGCCTATTGTTAATTAATATATTACTTAAAACATGAAATAATATTTTATACTAATAGCGAGGCTATTAATTATTCCCTCAAACCAGGGTAAAAGCTGTAACTAATTTGTAGCCCAGTTGACCTTTAGCAGAGTTTATCTGTGGCCGAGTTGAATTGTGGCCGAGTGGGGTCCTCTCTCTAGTCATAAGGTTCGCTATATATAAGGTCCACTGTTCATAGGGTCCGCTGGTTATAAAGACAATGGTTTATAAGGTGCACTATTCATAATTCTTTAAATAGTCCACTATTCATAAAGCTCATTATTTATAACGTTCGCTAATTATAATAAAATAACGGGTTCGCTAGTCATAATAAAGGGTTCATTAGTCATAATCAAGAAAAGAGTTCGTTATTTATAATAGAAAAGTAGGACCGGTCCGTTAATCATAAGTTCGCTATTCACAATAAAAAGGAGGTTCGCTATTCATAATAAAGAAATAGTTCGCTATTCATAATTTAAAAAAAAAGGAGATTCGCTATTCATAATTTAAAAAAGAGGTTCGTTATTCATAATAAAATGAAGTTCGCTATTCATAATTTTTTTTAAATGAGGTTCGCTTGTCATAATATATAAAAGATGGCGCTAGTCATAGAAAAAGAGGTTCGCTAGTCACAAAAAGAGGTCCGATATTTATAGTAAAAAAGGAGCCCCAACGCTAGTACAAATTTAATTGTAATACTTTATTAAATAACTCTTTAAATAATATGATGTCAACAAATAGAATTCTTTTAAATATTCAAAGCTTTTCAAATGTAAATATATAAATTTATAAAATATAAAAATATAGTCTTATCTAAACAACACGTAAAATGTTTGAATTATTAACTGTAACCATTAAATATAAACATGTATGTAGTATAAGGCCTAGCAATGGCTAGTGAAGTCTGTAGCATAGTCAAAATAAATATATATATATATTTATTTTATATCATATTTTATATTTCTGTTCCATATTTTTATCCATATAATGCTTTATTTTACCTATTTATGTGTGTAGTATAAGGCCTAGCAATGGCTAGTGAAGTCTGTAGCATAGTCAAAATAAATATATATATATATATATATATATTTATATATTTATTTTATATATTTTATATTTCTGTTCCATATTTTTATCCATATAATGCTTTATTTTACCTATTTATAATTTTCCATTTCCTGCTTATATCCTATTTCTCTATTTGTTTAGAAGCCATCCCCTCACAGTCAGCATATCGTGGGAACAGCCATTATCTGCTTTCTCATTCCTTATTGTTTATCTATACTCAGCATTAAGACATTGTCTTTGCTAGTAAGCTCTCTTACTTTAGATAACAACTCAGCTCTCTAGTTAATTCTTATTTACTATTTTTGTTTATTTCGCATTAAGTTTTAGTACCGCCCATGCTTTGTTGATAGGCCAATTAAATTTCAGGCAACTTGTAGCTAAGTATCTCTAATGTATATCACTCACGCTGATGAAGTCCACAGGAGTGGACAAAATATTCGTGTTTAATAAATTATGTTCCAAAAATACGTCAACTTGACTTTTGTTTTAATTGTCATCGCTTTCACCAATATATAAATATATATATAATAATGAGTATACTAATTAACCTGTTTACCAATAAACTATATAACAATATAATCTATACAGCAATTAACAGTTCCACCATGCATGATTGTTATTCAGTTATGATTTCACGTAAAATGAAAAAGCGTACAATTATAATCAAGTATGTACACATTTATTGACATTATGCCTATTAATAAAAAAATACAGTTAAAAACAAAAGAAATCCAGGAATGACAATAATGAAGGTGGTGGTTTAATGGGGAAAATTGTGCCGACCAGAGTGCACGCGGGGAGGCGTTTTATGGGGTGAAATTGAAATGCAGGGGCGGAATAATTTTGGGAGGTAAATAAAGAAAAAAAAAAGAAAGAAAAAGAAAAAAATGATTGCCCAGAACGCCTCAAATGTTGTTTTCGGGCGTTTAGAACACAAAAAGTTCACGGGGGACTGTCCCCGGACCCTTAATTTACGACAGTGTTGTCTCGATCGGCCCAACTTACTCTTATTGTAATACCAGTACACCATTTTTGTTTTCAAACTATAATTAGCTTTTTTATTATGACAAACCTTTTTTTTTTATTAATTTATTACCTTTTCTTTATTGATTTATTAACTAGCGAACGTTTTTTTACATTATGAATTGCGAACCCCTTTTTAATTATGAATAGCGAACTTCTTATAGTTATTATCAATAGCGAACCTCTTATTTTTATTATGAATAGCAAACCTCTTTTTTTTAATCATGAATAGTGAACCCCTATTTTTATTATGAATAGCGAACCTCTTTTTTTTTATAATGAATAACGAACCTTAAGAATAACGGTCCTTTATTTATATTATGAGTAGCGAACCATGCCTTGTGATCCTTTTAATAAATTATGTATAGTGACCCCTTTTCTTGATTATGACTAGCGAACCTAGCCTAGACCTAGTACAATGCTGTTCAGGATTCCGTCATAATATCTAACCCCGGTCTTCTTAAAACAAATTGTAGTCGTAGTTCGAGCTAAAACTTCAAAATTACGTAATTTCGTATTCTTACAATGAAGAACAACTAGACCAGGCCTAGCACTACGACTCTGCAGGCCGATTTTTCACTTAGGCTACCTAGTCAGCATAGGGCTTAAATCGCCGACTTATTTATTTACCCCACTAAAAACATGATTTTTGTAACTCACGATAAAGTGAAAAGAATAAAAACACTTGCATATGTAGGTCTGAAGTAGCTTCAATGTGTTCAAGAAAAGAGATAAACGTTTAGCTTCCAAAAAGGCGAAATTAAAACGTTTTCTAGCCGCATGCAATGCCTAGTTCCTGATTGACACGAAAATCCCCTATGGATCTTTGGTTGGTGCAAGGACTTTTAACTGTTACCAGAATAGGAAGCTGGCTGGTTTAAGCCGTACTTGAATTAGCCTTATGTGTGGTATTGTTATGCTAATCAACCAGATAAGCACAATCTGCACATGCTCAGAAAAGCAAAACTTTCCTTAGCCACACTATATCACACTGATTTTCGAGTCGATTCAGTCAAGACAGCCCGAGTAGAGTTTCATGCACGGGGGAAAAAAATCGCGACCGATACAAGCAAAAATATATGTACTGTATATATATTGCATTGACTTCCATGGCGACGAGATTCTATATTTGTTTTGCTATGCATACATTTTGAAAGCTCAATGTATAGGACTTCTGCTTTCGGTGTTTTAGAGTACTGATGAATACAGCATCCCTCTATACTTCAAGTTGTTGATCTGTGAAGTATTTCGATAGTTACACAGAAACTGGCAGCCTCAGGGATTATAATAGCAAATAAGTAGCTAATAACTTTATAGTGCCCCAGTACTTTTTTTAACCTTTACACATTAAGACATATTCCACCCTATGATTGGTCGGACTATTTCACTCTCCATCGTCGTAGATTAGGAATGTTTTCCTTTAAAAAAAATTGCTAGAATGAATAATATTTTAGTTCCTGCTTAGGGGATTTTGTTTGTTGTTGTTATTATTATTATTATTTCACTTTATTTCATATTTATATACATATTAAAAAGCAAGTTACAGATAGTATACTTTTGGCTGGAATTAAATAAACACTTATATACTATAGCCGTTTTACCGGTTAATAAGCCTTCACTACATGTCAGTAAATATAGCTTCCAGGATGTCGAAACACAATCGAACTGACCAGTTTCCAAGAGCCTCGCACGTATTCATCCATTTATAATTCCCCTTCCCAACTTATTAGCCTAAACCCATGTGATGTTTGCTCTTATTTCTAGAAAGTTTGGTCTGAAGATTGGTAAATTTATTATAAACAGCATGGAGTGCGATTTGAAGACAAACTCACTCGTACAAATAGGCCTACTTGGTATTAAATTGGACAATGTTTGGTATCTTCAAGCATGTTATTCTTGTGTGATTTGAGTTGTTTTATTAGTAAACTGGTAAAAAAAGAGGTTAAATTTTACGAGAAAATTGCTAATACGTTGGTGAAAGAAAAAATTATTGTTGAAGTGATTGATTAATTTATTGTAAAGAAAATATTTTTATACCATTATAACGGATGCTTAATTTCATTAATGTATGGTACTTTATGCCTATACCAACTCCTCTTGCAAATAAATTCATATTTTTTAAAGGTGCAATAGCGTCATAATTAAACTCGTAACTTCAAAAAGATCGCTAAAAGTGATCGAAGCATCACAGGTAAAGCATGGTTGCCAAAATCGCTACACGCTAACGCCGACTCATTTGGAGACGCTGGTTGGTCAGTTGAATCATGGAGCGTTCTGTCGTGACAGATACGCAGAGCAAGGATTGCAGTGAAATGCTGTAGTGACTGTGTAGTGATTCTATGGAAACTAGGCTTTAATGATTTTTATTTTATAAGGCCTATGTGATTATCCGAAATGGTATTGCAAAGAAACAGATAAATTTCATGATTGCTGTTTTTCGTTGGGTATCTCTACGTATACACGTTTAATACCTTCCATATAAATAAATATTTAAGTATAATAATAACTAATAATATATTTTAATGCTTAGTTCTCATGAAATTGACCTAGATTAGGACCAATATGTACAAAATAATATGTATATTGCTTCTTTTGGCAAGATAATTATAATATTTCCTCCGAAGCAGTGGTTTCCGTCACAGGATGTCTCACCATGGAGGAATTAATATGGTCTCACATTGTTGATTATTGTCATTTTGTCCTTTATTACCCATTAAAGCCTACATAATTTAGCACTCATACGATGATTATCATAGACGACATGTGTTTCTCATTCCTTTATTTAATCTGAAAAATAATATTTACATCCATAAGTGTCTTTTAAAATGTTTCTAATAATAGAAAGGAAAATGAAAGTTTATTTAAAAACACATACAGCATTTAATTTTATTTTGAATCTTATGTTATTTAATACATGACTACAATAGATAATTATGACCAAAAATTAATATTTATTATAATAATTATTGATTACATGTGTTCCTATGTGTTATTCTATGATTTGTACAAAATATATTTAAAAATTCAAGGGAAATTGCAGAATAAAATTAAATATCATTGTATAATTAATCAGCAACCCATACGTTGTAACTATTTTCTCGATTTCAGAGCAACATCACATTGAAATTAATATTCAAACGTAGTTTTTCACTTGACGTTTACATAGACAACTGGGTTGTCATAATTCCACTGTAGATCTTCATACTTGTTATCTGCTCCTGGCTCAACGTTGTACGCCGTATAAGCCTGAAAATATCAAGAATTATATTAATTTTTATAGGTTTTGTGACAGTAGCGTACTCATAAGAGGTAAGCGCAATCTTTGACCGGCGTTAGGCTTACATCCAGTGAATTGTGAAGTTAAGCATTTCTACTGAGATATTTAAATGATTGATTTGGTGTTTGCTTTCAATTGCGATTGTATTTTGCATGTAGGCCGTATTTGTATATTTTTAAAGCTGAATATTAAAATTTATATTTTGTGATGCAATACTTTAAACTTATTTTTGCATTTGTATGTGTTTCATTCCAGAATATATTCATTAATGTAAATAATAC